ATCCAACATGGATGAAAGAACAATAGTAGAAGGACTTGTTTGACTAATCAAGATCAAGGACTTGATTTAGCCACTAGCTAGAAAGAGTTGGTTGATGTCCAGGAGAACAATTTTAATTCTTAAGACCTGTTCAGTTTATTTAAGCAAGCAAAAAGCTTTCCAAAGTAGCAAGTAGCAACATGAAATAAAAACAACTGAATCAAAGAGCAAACAAAACTCACCTTCAATTATTGACCTCTCAACTCCGAGCTTGTCTACACTCCTGAACATTAATTAATTTGATGATGAGAGAGAGAGTGAGAAAAGAGAACAAATTCATACTACTAATTGTTACAGCCGTGTATACAATTGAACATACCGAAGATGCAGATCCTTTATGAAACCCAACTCATCCATGGTTTCCACATTAGTGATTCGACAGCTAACAGCCTTCTCTCCCGCCTGGATAGTCAACAGATAATGAAATTCTTTGACAAAGAGAGAGAAGTGAGAAGGATTACATTTACATTTATTTACATTAACAGGGTGAATTAGAAGAAAGGCATTACCAACAAAAGCTTATTCGTTATTTTTCCCATAGCAGAGAGAACAATTACTGGCCTGTCATTTGGGAAGCTGAGGATAACCGCCGCAACATCTCTGATCCTCTCAGCAGATGCCACGGATGAGCCTCCAAACTTCATAACACACGTCAATTGGTTGTTGGCTTCGCCTAAACTTGGATTTTTAGTCTCATTACTTTGTTGAATCGTATCAACAATAGTTCCCTGGTGGCGACTGAGTCTCAAAATTTTACTTTCAGGGGAACGCAAATGAGAAGAGGTATTAAGATGCTGTACAGTGAAATAGACACTGGGAATGGGAATGCGAAGAGGAAGAAGAAGATAGATGGCAGGGAGTTCTAAGTCTAACACGATAATACTGCAATGAAGCCGCCATGCTAACGGATCTGTGAGTAGAAGTAATTTATTTCATCAAAAGAAATGTTAAGAGGAAAAATGAGATCGCGGGAATCAAAGTTGAAGAAATTCTATTTGAGAGGGAGTGAGTGAGTGAGTACCTGAAATGTACAGACTACAGAGAAAATAAAAAAAAAATGCACAAAGGAATTGATCCTTCGGAGAGCTCTCAAGGCGTAAGAAAGAGAGAGGAGGAAAGGAATTGATTCCTCCGATAAAGGTTTCATGGATTTTTTTTGTTTCTTGGTTAATAGGTTTTGTGGGTTTTTTTTTATTGTTTTTATATTGACTGCACAATGAAAATATTATTTTTTATTTTTTATTTTATTTTAATGATATATAATATAATTTAAATTTAAAAATTTTTATTTTCAATTAAAAAAATTATCACTTAATTATTTAAGTTTTCATATATTTCATAAATTTTGGAGGACGTTAAATTGTCATCTCCTTTTTTTAGCCTCCGATGGGTTTCAGATCAGAGCTAATATTCCAGTCCATCAGATGGTAACGATGGGGACTGATTAACCAAAAAAAAAAAATCCGCTGGGTCTGCCTGTAAAGTGTAAACATACATACTAGGAGGCTGTTTGTGTTTGGGAAGCTTCAAAAGTCATTTGTTTAAAAAATATATATATATATATTATTCTTTTATAAATTTAAGATTTAATTAAAAGTAAATTCAAAAAATGAGCTTTTTAGATATGTTTTTAAATAAATTTAGAAAAAATTTAGATATGTAACCTTGAAAAAAATTTTAAAATTTTCTTTAATAAAATTTTAATTTTTTAAAAGAAAAATTTATTTTTTAACTTCATATTTTGTCAAAATAAGGATATAACATTTACAAAAAAAAAATTTAATTAAACATATGATATTTTCTTTTACTAATTACCATTATTACATTTTTAAAAGTTTTTAACTAATGATATAATATAAATAAAAATGCAAAATTTCAAAAAAATAAAAATAAAAATATAGCATTTACGATTAAATTAATAAAAGAATCCCAAATTTTCAAAAAAATTTTAAAAATTATATTTTTATTTATCTCAAATTTCTTTTAGACTTTGTGAGATATCCTTTACCACTAGCGTTAGTCCGTTGATTTTGATATTTGAAGTTGACTGCCGACTATTACACAAACACAATTATTGAATTGAACACCAATACAAAATCCCAAGAATTGAAATCGACGTGGACCTCTATGTCGTGCAGGGGGTTCAACTTCAACCTTGGGCAAGCCCACCATGGCCTTTTCCTTTATTTATAGCACGTTTAAAAAGGTTCAATTTTTGCTTTTTTTGGTTTACAGCTACTGTATGAGCTAGACAGACCAACAGATATATGAACCACCGTGCTTGTCCACATTCAGACAAATTACCAGAAATTTTGGTACGTGGGTATTATTAGATTCAAGACTCATATCTTAAACATGCTGCTTCAACGCTCGGGGTAGAATATGCCCCCACCATTTGGGGGATTTGATCCTACAATAAGCCTCAGTCTCTTGAATTTTTTCTTCTTAAGTTTTTAACCACCATAACTCATTATACAAATATATATATATATATATATATATATATTATGAATCTACAATCTATTCAATAAAAAGAATAAAGTAGTGGTAGTAATAATGATAATAATAATAATTCATCATGATAATGATGATGATGCATGAAGCACGAGTGAGAAAACAAAACATTTTAATTCAACAACTGTGTACTCTTCAAGAAACATAGCTGCTCTGCTAATGATGATTAAGACAAGAAACCTACAATTCTCCACTAAACATATGTCTGCCTACATCAATTTGGTCCTTAAACTGCCAAATAAGAAGCAATTTGCATTTACATACTACCTGAGATCCAGAACTACAGCTGGTTTAGTGCCTCCTTTTTGTAATTCAAGTCACATCATACCATGGAAGCCAGCTGAATCCAGAAGCACTGCTTTGATTTGCTCTGGCAGCACATCCTGCCCTTCCTTGCATTGCTGAAACCAGAAAAAAGGAATCAGTATATCGATCAAAATAATTCTGAGCACCTTCATAGACCACTTGGTCATGTTGTTGTATGAACAGAGTGGCATATTTTCTGTCAGGTTCTCCTTTATCCCTTTCTTCCTGACCATGTTTCTGCTTATGAATTATGTTAATTCTTTCCAAGCATTTCCTAATTACTTTCTCATCAATTCATTCAGGTATTTCCTGCTCATTGCTTTAACTTCCAAGGAGTGACCATCAGCTGATAAAGCAGCTATTAACCATCCACTATCTTCGAGTACGAACAGATATGTGAGGGAGCTAGAGGCAAATAAAGTCTAAACATTTCACATCACACAACAAAATTGATGAGACCCAAAGGAAACAGTACAAGATAGGACCCATTGAGAATTATGATCCAAACTCAACCCATGTGAACAACAGAAGTGCAGTACTCATGCACTCAGATGGCCTACCACAACAAAAGCTTATATAGAATAAGACAGGTGATGACCCCTAAAACTCAGGTGATTTTGAAGTACTATCTATATCCTAAGCTGAACTAACCTTAATTACATAGGTCATAGTATCATCCCAGATCTGTGTGGTTGAAAGGGACTGAAATCTGGTTATTCTACAATAAAGATAATGTTCTTGATGGTGTTAAGAGTTGAAAAAAGTTCAATAATTATGTGCTTTCTGATTTTTTTCATTACAAATATACTCCATGTCATGCATTAGCGGGCAATTTCAAATGATTTCTTTTCTCCTTTTTACGGGGGTGATGTTATTGCCACACCCTCAATTACTAATGTCACACTTTTTTATCTTAATTGACCATTATACCCGTTAATTTATGAAGAAACAGAAAAAAAAAAAATGTAAATGTTTGAGAAAAAGTGTAATGTAGAGGTATAACAGGCAATTACATTAAAACGGTGTGGTAATAACCCCACCCCTTTTTATGGGTCCCCACTCTCTTGAGTTACCCAATGAGCTGCAAAGCAACCATGAGGTTAGTTCCATCATGGTAAATAAGAACATAAACAATATACCACCTGTCACTTGCAAACCAAAATAAATTTTTATAATGAGAAAAATATAGCAGTCTACCTCAGCTCGGAACACATCCAAAGCAAACCCATTGAAACAGCTGATGACAGCCTGCTGAATGTCCAATCCAAGGTTGTCGAGTGCTCTCATGGTGGAGAGAAGAAGTCCTGCTCTGCGGGCACAAAACATATGGATGTTGACAGCCCTCCCTTCCCTCATCCTAACCTCCACCTTAAAAAAGATGAGAGAACATAAAAAGTTGGCAACTTTCTTAGGTTATCATAAATGGTAATGAATTCTTGTTTTCAATTATGGGCGTAACAATTATGCTTACATAGAATTTATACAAAGAACAATGTTGATTGAACCAAAGACGTATCTAGCATCACTAAAAGGACCAACAAGAAGCTCTTGCTTTTTTTCCTTTTTAACCTAAGCAGAATAAACATGTGGACAAATAATATGAAAGTAGGCAGAAAATTTCACACTCATTAGTCTATCATAATTTTATAAAGAGTATACCTACTATTATTTATCAGGTATCTCACCAACTTCCAAAATATGACACTTCACCAAACCAATCACCCATAGTTGATGATAATATGCTCAATCTAGAAAAAAGTGCTGGCATTGGACCTTCTTGTTTCTGTTAGTGCACACATGAGAATTTATTTTTTGGCAAAGGTTTAACAAAGATTTCTTTAGTTCTCAGAATCAAGTTCAAATATAAATCAATCTAAGGTCTCAGATCGATAGTCAAAATTAAAAGCTTAAACTATTAAGTAAAATGATGTTATAAACTTAACTATCATTTACCGTCCATGTAAGGCAACAAGCCACCAGCATTAACATTTTACTTCTTTTACTTAGAGGTCTTTCAAGTCAAAAGTAACACTCACCTACGTCAATTTCCTTTTTAAATAAATGATAACAATCATCAACAAAATGGTAAAAAATTCATGAAGAGAATTAAGCATAATAGAGATGTAACACAAAAAATATGGCAAAACCAAGCTTTATCTAACACCAAAACCCTTTCTTGGCAAAAAGATGAATCACATTTACCTTTGTAGTTTGGTTTTTGGGGCTTGGTAATGAGCTTGGGTACAGTTCTTCCTTGACACGGCAAGGAAGTGTTGGAGGGGTTGGTGTCAAAGGGTGGAAGCTTGTAGATGGTAGCATCAGAGAGCCAGCTGGGGTTGATTCAAGTTCATTATTTAGATCGTTAATCCTTTGCAGAAGCTCCTTTAAATAATCAATGGCATCCCCAAGTATTGACGCCCTATCCATCTGTGCATAAAGGCCACAAAGAGAGGCTATCATTCATGACTGTTAAATAACAGTCTTTGTCACTAGACTATGTTAACATAGGTTTGAATCTCCCTAAGCCCCAACAATGACTGCATTTACAACCACCAAAAACATAAGTGGGTTTAAACTCCACTCGAACGCAATGCCAGTAGGAAGTAGTGACTGTGACACCAAGCATGTGACAATTTGACAAAGAAACGAAATGACTGACTAAAAGACCAAATAATTAATCTAATTGAAGGCAGTTAAATGGTACCTTGCTAATCTTGGGCACTACAGACCTAAGCATGTAAAGTCTATCATTCAGTTTCTTCCTCCTCCGCCTCTCCGCCATTAGATTCTTTGCAGGCATCCCTTTCTTCTTCCCCTTCTGATCCACACCAGTAACAGTACTATTAGCATTCGAAGTGCTACCACCATTCCTCACGCCCTCTTCCACCTTAGAATCCGAGTCATAATTCAAACCCGACACATCAATGCTTGCCTCCTCAATATCAGCGTCATCATTCCTCTTCCTCTTCCCATCAGACGCTTCTGCTTCAAATCTCAGACCTGCAACCTCCAAATTCCCCAAATTGTCAGCTCCAGTAGAGCCTTGGCGCATGGCTGCTCGCTTCTGAAACAAAGTGGGTTGTGCAGCAATTGAAGGGAAAACTTGAATAGGCTTCAACAAGAGAGCATTCCCGGATCCGTCAAACCCCTCAAAAGCAGCAGCACTGAACCCGCAGGCTAGCGCAGAAGCATTTTCAGGTGGCGTCAAAAAACGGGTAGATTGATAGTCGGAAGTGGAAGTAAATTCAGGAATAGGCAGTTGAGAGTGGGGAAAACCCATCAAATTTGGGGTTTGATTAGGTTGAAAGTGGGCGAAAAAAGGCGTCTCAGTCTCAGAAACAAAATCGAAAGCAGTGTCATAGGGGTTGGTGCAGAGAAGAGAAGAGAAGGAAGATTTAAGGGGCAAGAAAGGGTGCGAGTGTGAGGGGTCGAGGGTGAAGGGGTGTGAGGGAGAGCAAGAAGCAGAGGAATCAATAGGTTGGTGAAGCAGGAGGGCATTATCAGGAGGGTAAGAAGAGAAAGTAAGCTCTCTGATTTCCTGATGATTTTGCATTTGCAAGCTATGGTTATGGTTGAGAGGTGAGTTGATGAACCAGTCCAACTCAAGCATGGATTTGAAGGTAGAGAGAGACGCAGCGTTGGTGACGGAGATGTCATCTTCTTTAGTCTCCTCCATTTCAATAATATTGCCGGTGGTGGTGGTGGTGGTGTTTCTGGTCCAAGACACTGCATCTTCCTCCCCTTCTCCGTCCATCCAAACGACGGCGTTAGCTCCGAGAACCATCTCCCCTCGGCCTTTTGAGTGAGAGAGAAAGGGAAAGGAGTGTAACTTTTTCAGCAGATGCAGAGCATCAAGTTTGTTTGTGGGCAAAAGGAGTCCACCTTTGTGAGAGATTTATGTTTTTCTACGGATAAATACTACAGTACTACGTAGTAAATTGGTTATGTTATGTCCTTATGTTATGGGTGGCTGTTTTTCTTTTTTTGTTTGTGTTTTTCTTTTTCCACGTTTTTGGCCTGATACTGTACAGTACTAGTAGTAAATCGGATATGTAATTGCGTGGTATTGTTATTTTTAGTAAATTTAATTTAATTTTTTTAAAAAAATTTTAATATAAATTTTAAATAAAATTTTAATAATTTATATAAATAATAATTAAAATTTTTTTATTTTATATAAAGTTTTTATTAAATACTAGGTTAAGTCCTTAATTTGATCCCTGAACTATTGTACGGATTTTTGATTTGTTCTTTAAACTTAAAAAATTTTTGATTTGATCCCTAAATTATTGTACGGATCCCAATTTGATCCCATTATTTATCAATTTACCCCAAGTTAATCTTTTTATACAAAAACTAATTGACGTGTTTTATTATTAACGTAACACGTGACAATTAAGTTACTGTTTTTTGTCGTTAAGTTATTATTTTTCGTCGTTAAGTTATTATTTTTTGTCGTTAAATCAAGGACATGTCAGATGTTTTTTGTATGGAATGACGAACTTGAGATAAATCGATAAACAGTAGAGACCAAATTGATGGTTTGTACAATAGTTTAAAGATCAATTAAGGATTTTTTTAGTTTAAGAACCAAATTGGAGGTCTATATAATAATTTAGGAACCAAATTGAGGGTTTAACTTAAATACTATAATTTAAGAAAAAAATTAATTATTATTATTTATATAATATATTAAATTTTTATTTAAAATTTATGTTAAAAAATTAAATTAAATTTATCAAAAATAAATAGAAGGAAAAGTATCTTCATTTCCTCTAAATTCTCCCTTTTAAAAATAAAAATCTTTATTATATATAATTCATTAAAAAAATATGATTATATTATACTAAATTAAATGGTTTTATATTAAAATTTATAACCTAATAATTATATATTTGATCTTAAAATGCACATTTAAAAGGTTTAAATCATCTCTTTCTTAATTGTAATTCATTAAAAAACTAAATAATTCTGGTAATATTGGGAGCAGCACACACGGCTCAACACATTTAACACAAAATTCAAATGGTAGTGTAATTAAAAATTTTAGTAAAGCTAAAAATGGAGCAAAAGAAGCAATCTTTTTTCTTTTTTTTTTTCATAAAGTCACAAACAATACGAGGGATGTTATGTATGTTGTCGTCCACATCTTTAATACCGTACATCATGGTTTTTAATTTCAAAGTTTTCGGGATGATGAAATATATATATATATATATTGGTGACAGAGACATGGAAGAGGGAGCAATAACAACCGAGCAAGCGACAAGGGCAAGGCAAAGTTAACTCACGATGGAGGATAGTGCACTTTCGTCGTATTTGTTCAAAATTAAGAAAAAAAATTATTTTAAAATTATATTATGTTAATAAATTTTTATTAAAAAAGTATTAAAATATTTTATTTATATAATAT